GGTGAGGCACGAACAGGGGTTGGGTAGGACTAGCTAATGACGGCGGATGGGCCGGAATTGACCATTTCAGTCTCCCTTGTCTTCGCCGGCAATGCTATCTGTCTAGCATACGGGGGGTTTTGCGACTGCTGGCGGAGCTCAAGAATGAGCGCCAAGGAAAAGCGACACGAGTGACTTCCGTTAGCGGTCAGTCAACGTTCATCATCGAGTGTCGATATGATTATGTAAAGCAACGTTTCCCAGGTGCAAATTTAAAGATGGCAAAAACAGCAAGATTAATTGGATCCATGACATTTCGAGCGAGCTCTTCAGTTGCTGCCTCTCATTGCATAACGTGAATCACGCAAGAGTAAATACAAATTGAATTCACACAGAAAAATCGATACAAACAATAAGGTCATAAGAAATGGCCAAGGGGCTAATCAACAACGTAAGAAAGTTAAAACGCTGTGGGCAGCAAAAACGGGGGAAATACGTCTAAGGCCAAAACGATTGGGAAGGGAAGTGTGTAAACTGGGAGCCGGTGTTACCACGGCAGAGTGAGGTTCACCAAGTGCTCCGGCTGTTTACATGGGCCTGATTTGAACCGCGGTATGTAGGCTGCCTCCAGGTAGGGCAAGGTACGAGTTGTTCGTGCACGAACAAGTTCTAGTGAAGAAGTTGCCAGTCCAGCCCGCAGCCCACTATAAGTCCTTACCCTACCTCCTCCCCGCGCACTCCTTATTTGGTGACTTCCGAGTTTACGGCATTCACCACTGCACCTGTCTCTGCCGTGATAACATTGGCTCCCTGTTTACACATTTCGTTTCCCAACTTTTTATCTCAGACTTCTTTCCTCGTTTTTGCTGCTCATAGCGTTTTAACTTTCTTACGTTATTAATTAGCCTCTTGGCCATTTCTTATGCCCTTGTTACTTATATCGATTTTTCTGTGTAAATTCAATTCGTATTTTCTCTTACGTGATTCAGGCTATGCAGTGAGAGGCAACAACTGAAGAGCTCTCTCGAAATGTCACGGATCCAATAAATCTTACTGTTCTTGCCATCTTTATATATGATTATGCTTACGTGTCGTCCATTGACCCATCTGAAGCTGATTTATGTGTGTATGTATACATACGGCAATCACAAGTAGGGTTTCATATTACACTGATCGCTTATCCCTGTGGGAACTACACGCATCGTAATTCTACTCCGGGCAAACTTTAGCTGCTTTGACGCATATCTGGTCTCCTTTAATTGTCTCAGCGCATGCTTGATTGAGTACTTGCTGCAGACCCGCCGAATTTGGGGAGGCCTTCTTTCAGTTGCCTATTCCATAAAATAATTACACTCTGCAAAATTCACTGACTGAGGTTTACTGATGCACAGTTTTTATTCATTAAAAGGATTAGCCCTAAAGT